CTCGTCTATTTCCTATTTACAGCTCATTCAGAATATTACTACAAATACAATATACAATTTTTAAGAACTTATGGGGAAACGCAGCTTATTTTTTTCTCCTCTTTACAGGCTTCTCAAAATCATTCAACTTAAATGAAAATTCATATGGACATTTTTTGTACATTATCTGAAAGGGCAGAGATTATACTGATAAAACCAAAAGAATTTTGCACATATACAATAAAATACAGAAAACAGAAAGTATAGATGAGGTTAACTGGGGCACAAATATAAACAATACAGTACCACTTGTGTAAATTTAGCAACGTAACCCCCACACTTTATAGAAATAAAAATGCAAACCTGGAGAATGTTCTAACATTAAACATTATATATACAATGAAGTAAAGGTACCTTGGTTCTTGGACATACTTAGTCAACTCAAAATAAAAATAAGCAGCATGTCTAGTTAATTAAAAGTTATGTAGGGGCAGCACCTGTGGCTCAAAGGAGTAGGGCACCAGCCCCATATACCGGAGGTGTGGGTTCAAACCCAGCTCCGGCCAAAAATTGCAAAAAAAAAAAAAATAAGTTACGTAGGCTTGGCACCCATAGGTCAGTGGTTAGAACATCGAAGCTGACAGGTTCAAACCAGCCCGGGCCTGTTAAACAACAGTGACAACTACAAGAACAACAACAAAAAAAATAGCTGGGTGCTGTGGTGGACACCTGTAGTTCCAGGTACTTGGGAGGCTGAGGCAAGAGAATCACTTAAGCTCAAGAGTTTGAGGTTGCTGTGAGCTGTGATGCCACGGCACTCTACCCAGGGCGACATAGTGAGACTCTGTCTCAAGAAAATAAATAAATAATAAATAAAAGTTATCATACAATGATGCACGGCTCCATCATAAGAAGCACATCTGTTCTCATTAGTCATTTTCCCCTAACAAATTATTAAGGATGGGTTGTAAAATTACAATATCTAGACCAATTTTTTGTAAGTAAACACTTCTAAGGCCATGTATGGTGGCTCACACTTCTAACTCCAGCACTTTGGGAGGCTGAGGCAGGAGGATCACTTACACCCAAGAGTTTAAGGCTGTAATGAGTTACAATGACAACACTGCACTCTAGCCAGGACAACAGAACAAGACCCTGTCTCAAAAAAAAAAAAATGACCCAAAACAAATGGAACAAAGCTTCTAGAGCTGATGACAACATAAACTCACTTTGGGGCGGCACCTGTGGCTCAGTGAGTACGGCATCAACCCCATATACCGAGGGTGGTGGGTTCAAAACCAGCCCTGGGGCTCGGCGCCTATAGCTCAACCGGCTAGGGCGCCAGCCACGTACACCTAAGGTGGCGGGTTCGAATCCCCAGCCCGGACCCGCCAAACAACAATGACGGCT